ATATGTGTTCGCATATATTTAAATATATTATCATTATTGTTAAATGTTAATATATATATATATATATTAAATGTATATTAATTTATTTTAACTGAGATAATGATGAATTAAAATAAATATCTAATTGGGAGTGTTTGGAAACAAGGGGTGTTTGGGTTGGGGCCCAAGCCAATTCCATATGGGAATAGGGCAATTAAACTTTACTATAAAAGAAAAAGGTTAATTGAAAAAGGTGTAGATTTCATTATTCATTCTAGTCATTGAAAAAGAAAAACCCCACAGCCCCAAAACACTCTCTCCCACGCCAGTTTTAGTTTTGATTGAAAAATCAAATACTCTTCATTTTCCTTCTTTGTTCTTAAGGCTAAAGAGGATCTAGCAAATCCCTCTTTAGTTCCTTGCAATTATTTTCGTGTGGACTACGTCGGTTCGATCCTACACTTGGGTCGGTAACAAAATACGTTTAGAGACAAAGTTGGAGGAGCCTCCAAACGTGCGTATGATTCTTAAACTCTAAATTAATTTTCTACAGATTCTTGTTTTGATATAAACTGTAAATTTGTGCCCTGATCTTGGTTCTATGGAACGATCCATGTTGTTATTAATTTTTGTTTTCCACTGCCTCAATGGATCGTTTCCTAACAGTTGTGTTGGTGTATTTGATACTTGATAAATGTTTGGATGAAATTTGGAAGAATTGCAGTGAAAATTTTGAAGTGTGTATTTTGGGTAGATTTGGCATTATTTATGGAGGATGTTATCCAAATTTTTGGTGACCTAAAAGAGAGATAGAAGTGTAGCCAAATTAGTGTTGATTTGTGAACATGAATTGTTTGATGAAATGTCAAAGGGAAGTGCATGTATGAGTATGATTATGTGTTACTTTGGGATGAGTTTGTAGATGGTAGAGAATGACATGTTTGCATTCTATAAAGCATAATTGCATTTAAACATGTGAATTTAGAAAGAATTATAAGCATGAAACCATCTACATGCATACATATTCACAAAAGCATGAAAAAGCACTAAAATATGTTAAAGAGAAAATAGAAAGCAATGAGAATATTAAAGATATTCAAATCTGAAATTTTACTTAAAGAAGTGTAAAAAGATAAAAAGAAGAGAAGGTTGTTGCGATGGGGAGCCCGTGAGTGACATAGTCCCACATGCACACTGCCTTTAGTGAGCGGCCTCAGAATTCAGAAAGAAGAATTGTATAGTCCGTTAGAAGTGCGTGTGGATGAGGATTGTACCCAGAATTAGAGAATTCACTCACACGGCCGAGGCTCCAAATTCATGCCTCAACCGAGTTTGATCGGCAAGAATAGAAAGAAAGAAAAGAAAGAATAGAAAGAAAGACTAGAAAAGAAAGAAATAAATAAAGAAACAGAAAACAAAATAAGAAAAATAGAAAAGAAAATGCATAATTTATGCATTTGTGCATTTGCATCATGAATATGCATAATACCATGCTCATTATCATGAGTAGTGAAAAATTAGAAAATTGAGAGAAAAACAGAGAGCAAAACAAAAAAAGAATGAGAAAGAATAGAGGAAGAACAGAGAAAGAACAGAGAGAATAACAGAGAAAGAATAGAGAATAATCGGGAAATGAGATGTAAGGAAAGAAAATTCAGAACTTAAGCAACGGAGATGGAAGAGTAGCATAGCGGGTTTACTTACTAAGCAATTAGTGCTCACTCCATTGTTTTCAATGTTTTTGCAGGTAATAGGTGAGTTGCAGTCGCTCAGAACGTCATGTAGTGGAAGGGTTGGGCTACACTATCAAGTTGCTATGTTGAGTATATTTTGTAAATATTTGTATATAAATAAAAATTAAATATGGGGCCACACTTTATTACTCGGTCTAGGCCCGATTGGGACCAATCGCTCATGGGCTTAGGACCGGTCCCAGGCCCATGAGAATTTTCAGGACACGGACCGGTCCTATGGACTTGAAAATTTATTTTTTACCCCCGCCCCCCCAATTTTTTTTTTTTTTTATATTTGGGGGCCAAAAAAAATATGTTGGGGGTTTTATGTAATTTTTAGGGGCTTGGAAAATTTATTTCCATCTTGAGAGATTAGTAAATTTTTAATTAATTTTAAAAAATAATTAAATAATTAATTAATTAATGGTTAATAATAATTTATAAATATGAGGATTTAAATTTAAACTTTAAAGAGATGATTTAATTAATTAATTTTAATATAAATGTAATATTCACAGAATCATACATTCACACTTCACAAATAAACAATTAAACAAATTTATTTTTATTAAATTATTCATCGTCAATAATATTTACATTGTTCAAATTTGTGTTCCTGGAGAGTTCGAGTAGTTCAGGATATTCAAGGTGTTGTTGTAGTTTGCTCTCTGCATGAGTCAAATCCCGTAAACATGTTATCACTTCAATCATCTCATTAGTTAAAGAGCATCTTATGTCTTCAACAATCCGGCCACTCATTGAGAATGCTGACTCGGATGTAATTGTAGAAACCAACACAGATCACATGCCATTTTGGCTACAATGAAGAATCGACTTTGTTGTTGTTTCCACCATTTAAGCACATCCATCTCATGCTTCTCCTTCTTCGTCATGTAAGACATGTCCATTTGTAAGTAGCGATTCAAATCATTTGGTCCATGTATGTAAGCACTGGAGCTGCTACTTTCGCCACCATGTTCCATATATGTCCACATGCTCGATTCTTGATGGTTGTCTTCATCAGGGTCCTATTAGTCGTCTCTGCTGGATGTTCTAGTTCCATTATACCTGCTCTGATATAAAGAAAAAAGGTTTTCCAATTTTTGCTTAAAGTTAATCAAATAATACGTATAATCATGTCCTAAATGCTGGCCTATCTTAGTAACTATACAATTAACTACATGTAATTTAAATATAGGATCTACAACAAAGCCTAATCCATATATGAATGGAATATCTAACCAATATTTCTCGTATTTTTTTCCATCTCTGAAACAATTTCATTTACGACGTCATTATATCTATATTTAGCAAAAGTTTTAGAAATTTGAAGTAAAATATCCAACGCTAAATTAGTAGTAGGATAATAAATACCACTTAATGTATTGGTGGATTCATAAAAACCTTTAAGAACTGAATAAAAAAGTTTGCAAACCGTCCAATCATCATAGCTGACAACTTCCTGCGAATTCTTCAAGTTGACAAAATTTGTAACTTGTGTTGCGTTTGGCAAAGCTTTTTCCAACATTAAGTAGGTGGGTTCCAATGGATAGACATGTCCGTACATAACTTCAAAGGTCGAATCGGTGGATCCTCTTGCTTACAATATTTGACCTACTCTTGCCATCTTTTGTTGCTACCGCCGACGATGAATCCGATAGTCGCGTTCACCCTTTCAATCTTAGAATTTATAGCTTCTAAACTTGCTTTAACAATCAAATTGATGATGTGGCAAGCACATCTCTAGTGAAAAAATTTGCCTTCACCAAGAGCATCCAATCTCTTTTCAAATAAAGAGATAGCCACGGTGTTAGTAGCTGCATTATCTAGCGTTAACACTACAACTCTATCAGTTAATACATATTCTTACAAAACTTCAAGTATTGTAAAATAAATAGTATCAGCATTATGTGTAGTATATAATGGTCTAAAACCTATCAATTTTTGCTGTAAACCCCAACCATGATCTAAGTAATGTATTGTGACAGTTAAAAAATATGTTTTTGATCTATAAGCCATATATCTGAGGTAAGTGCAATAGATATATTCCTAAAATTTTGAAATTCATTTTTAAGTTGAATATTTATTTGGTTATAAAGTTTTAGTATGTCTCATCTACTTGTACTTCTACTAACAGGGGTATATGCTGGACAAAATGCAGTTTTAATCAAGTGAATAAAAAAAGGATTTTTAGATAAAGAAAGGGGAGAGTCCGTAGCAACTATGTATTTTGCTATTTCCTCTCGTGGTTGGAGTGTATTGTATTGCCATGTTGACAAAGTTGAGGATTGTGGATTAAAATTAAGTTGAGTTTGAATTTGCCTACCTAGTCTAGTTGAAGATGAACCGGATAGCTGCATTATTTGAGGGTGCTTCTTCTCCAAATGACGTTGCATCGTCAAAGTCCCCTTCTCATTGCTGATAACGGTTCCATAGAAATTACATACCTCGCATGATTCTTCTCTCTCCCCATTTGCCTTTGCCTATTTTGATTTGATGAAGTGTCGCCATACATCGGACACGACTCTCTTTGATGCTCGGGGGGGTTGGGCCGTGGAGTCACAACTCGTTTGTGTTTGGCTACACCCCGTCCTGGCTGAATGTGGTTGTTATTGTTGAATTACCGCTGCTGCTTCTAGAAATGGTAAAAATGGATTGAACCCTTCCATTTCTTCGATTGATGTAACCTAGAATTCATTTGGCCCTTCCATTATGAATTTATGATAAAATAATAAATAATTAAAATGAAAAAAATTAAATAATAATATGAATAAGAGATGATATTGAAAAATAGAAAAAATAGAAAAATATAAAATATAAATAAATAATATGAATAAGTTATAAATATAAATTGAATTGAAGAAAATATGAATAAGAATTAGATTGGAGTAGAGAGATATAGAGAATGACAGAGAAGGGGGGGGGGGGGGGGGGGGGTCGTCATGTTCTATTTATTTGTTTTTGTTTTTTGTAAAATATTATTTAACCTTTAATATTTTTGATAATTGCAGAATTATCAGAAGGTTTTTGGATATTTTTAAAGGACTATTTAAAAATTTTTAATTTGGTTTAGGCCCAGGCTTGGGATCGGTCCAGACTCAAGTCTTGGAGGAGGGACCGATCCCTCCTCCCATAGGCCTGGTTTGGTTTGAGACTAAGCCCTCCTCTAGGACCAGTCCTTTGGGCCGGGTTTCTGGGACCAGTCCCAATGCCCAGGTCTACCCAATTGCACAACCATCTTCTTCGAGTTGGTTGCTTTTCCCAAGATTCTCTTACCCACAAAACGCACCCTCGTATTAGCCCAATCACTTTTATCTCTCCATATTTGTGTCTAAACTCTTTTTAAATCTCCACTCTTCTCTTCATTTCACTCACCAACTTCACTCTGCTCTCTGCACTCTTCATTTCCTGGGCCTTCAACATGGTGGCCGATGCCAAGGGTAAATTGGACATTTCCTTCGCTGGTACTTGCACCAATAGCGCTTTTGCCGCTTGTTTCGCCGAGGTGTTTGTCAACTCAAACTCTTGTTCATTATTTTATGTATCACCTGATCATGTGTTTCTTTGAGACTTTTCGATTGGATCGGGTTTGTCAAGATCTTTGTTTTAATATTTTACTCGAAAGTGGTCGTAAATAGTCAAAGTTTGGATTTTTAATCTTAAGTTGTTTATGGGTATTTTAGTTTTCGTAATCAAAGATGAAATTTTGAACGCAGTGGCTTTTGTTTGTAAAGTCAAATCTTCAAATATGTATGTTTTTCTGTAACAATCAACTTGTAATCTTGATTTTAACGTTGAAGTTTCTCATAGTTGGCGAATCATATTGATATGTTCGGGAAAATATTTTATGGAGATGGTGATCGATTTGGGCCTGGAGAAACTCTGTGCTGTTTGTTTAACTGTTTTGCTTTTTAAATTCCATTGATATGCACTATCATCTTAATTGTTGAATTCTAGTATATGTAGGCTTTGAAACACATTTTACTTATCCAATTTTATGTGATTATGTGTAGATTTGCACTATTCCTTTGGACACTGCTAAAGTTAGGCTTCAGCTGCAAAAGAAAGGTGTAGCTGGAGATGGATTGGCCTTACCAAAATACAGGGGTTTGTTGGGAACAGTTGGTACTATTGCTCGGGAAGAAGGTCTAGCGGCACTCTGAAAAGGAATTGTACCTGGATTGCATCGTCAATGCTTATTTGGAGGGTTGAGGATTGTAGGTTTTAATTCGCTATATAATGTGCACTTATTACCATAGATATCTTGTTTGCTTTCTAATATCTGATACATGGTTGTGGACCGTGTCCTTGACAGGTTAAAAACTTCTATGTTGGTAGTGACTTTGTTGCAGATGTTCCTTTATCTAAGAAAATACTTGCTGGGCTTACGACTAGGGAGTGGAATGGTTGAATGCTTTCGGAATTATGTTTTGCTTCTTTCAAGATTATGTGATACAAGTTGACTTTAATCGTATAGTTAGATATTTTTTCTTACACGTGAAATGCTTTAATTTACTTTTGTACCTTTTCATTTTCTGATTTCTTAAGACGTGTCATCTCATCAATAAGTGCTCTAGCAATCACAATTGCAAATCCAACTGATCTTGTCAAAGTAAGACTTCAAGCTAAAGGAAAATTACCTCCTGGTGTGCCAAGGCGCTATTCAGGAGCATTGAATGCTTACGATGGTGCGTTTTGTGGGTAAGAGAATCTTGGGAAAAGCAACAAACTTGAAGAAGATGGTTGCACAATTAGGTGTTATTTGCATGTGAAGAATCTGCATAAGGTGTGGAATGGTAATTAGTTGTTGTGTTTGAAGGGATATTGAGGGTTTAAACATTCAAGCAATAATTGTGTTTGAAGGGATATTGTAATTATTTGTTTTGCTTCTGCCAATTTTTGTTTGGAAGTATTATTTTTTTCACATATCTAGTGTTCTTGCTAGGGGCAATCATCAAGGTGAATGAACTGAAATGTTGGAATTCTGCTTGTTATCCACTCTTCAACCACAATGATCTGGTTTTATTGAAAATTTTATGTCATGATTTGGCTTGGATTGAGTTTGTACTTTTTATAGCTGTGTAGTTGTGTAGGTGCTGGCGCCTGCATATATTCTACAGCCTTGAAAGTTATAGCATTGTCACAAGCCTTGTTAAAATAAATGCCAAAGCCTTTCAATTTAAATCTTGGGGCGGAAGGTGTCCAAAAAATGGGCTAATATCTCGTGGGAAAAAGTATTGGTGCGTAGAATTGTTATTATCAATAGCAATTAATTTTCAGTTATAATATTGTTTTACCTTTTGAGTATTAATGCTTACTTCCGAATTAATTTTGTATAGGGATCCTTTCAATCGGGATGCGTTGAATGTGGGTTTTATAAAATGACTATAATGAGATACATGAGAGATATAGCCGAGAATGGGTTGGCATTACTGAAAAACAATGTAAATAATTTTTTTTTTGGTTCGTTTTGAATAATAAGATATAGTTGATATTTGTTGATTAGTCTTATTGTGTTTACTTTTGTAGTTCATGGGGAAAGAAATATATGAAGATGCAAAGGTCGATGAAGTCAGAGTAGAATGAGCGATGTATGAAACAAACTTTCTTTAGTTATATATTGTTGTTTCAATGATGTCAGAGGCCAATGAGGGCAAAAACTTTGTATCAAACTTTTCATTATTGTTTATGCATATTGTAAAATTTATACAGTTGTTCAATTTTGTTTACTCAGAGCAACAGTAATATATGTACTATTCGATCAATTTACATATTGTTGAATAGTCATAATATTATGAAGCATTTCATTTGACTATTCTATAATTTAATATGTAATAATAAAGAAATTTCACTAATTTAAAAAAAAAAATTAACAAATGAAATCTTGACAGTATGAAACTGTCAACAATTTGGCTAAAAAAAAAATAAATTTAAAATTCAATTAAATCCTTGTCAGTTATTGAATTGTCAAGGATTTGGTTCAACTTCTGTTAAATCCTTGGCAGTTATTGAACTGTCAAGGATCTATCAAGAGGTCCTCGATAGTTCGAAAACTGTCATGACCCTTTCTTAACAGAGGCTACAATGACAGGTCAAAAACTATCATTGTATCCCCTTTCTTGACTACCCGTCAAGAAAGACCTTTTTCCTTGTAGTGAATGATTTATGCTTTAGAGTTGTTACTACATCTTTAAACTTCCAGGTATATAATAACTCATCAACATGGATACCTTTTTGTTGAAACGAAAATATTTTTAGTTCTTAAGAATGTTTAGAACTTCTTGGTATGAAACTTTTTCTATGTCTATCTCTTTAATCAATTTATATACATTGGATTTGACATGCTCCATTAATTAATTATTAATGTAATGCATACTTTACATTTATACTAGTTGCATAAAGGATAACTAAGTCAAAACAATAATTTTTGTAACTATACCTTTATTAAGTTACAACTTCCTCATAGTAATAAAATTAGTTTGGTCCCACTTATGACTACAGAGAGGTTTTATTTCGATTTCATAGATTTACAGTTCAACTCCATACATTTTCATATTAAACGTATGTATAAAGTGTTTTATAATAGTCAAGCTGAGTGAGCTCTCTCAAGTTGAGTAGCTCACTTGAGTTAAATTTTTTTCTTTTTTGAAAGTCACTAGGCTCTCATTCAAAGTAAAGCCAAGTCAAAACCCGAAATAGAACTTACTTTTATTTAATTTAAATGTATTTGTGCAGTTTACAAATTTCTCTTAAACTATTTCATAGAAAATAAGATTTTATGCATTATTCCAATTTATATAAGCAATTCATCATTATCAATCATCATTCATCAGTCATCAATTTTAGCCATTTTACTTACTATTTTCATCAAATATCAATAACAAATTGTTAAGATGTTAAAAAAAATTAAAAAAATTAAAAATCCTTGGGATTTATAAGATTGTAGCTTGTAACTATTTGATTATCGAAATACAAAATATAGAAAGAATAGATGAAGATAGGTTAACAAAAAACTAGAGTTACAACTATGAAAGCTTTTTTCTTTTCCTTTTTAGACAAAGGAATGGAAAAAAGATAGGTTAATTTAAGAAAAATAGACACGAATTTTGGCTTGTTTGATTTGTGATCCAAAAATAATTTTCAAAAGCCAAAATACAATTCAAATTTCTTAGATGTATCTTTGAAGTTTTATGTCTTAACCAAGTTCATTAGACTTTATGCAGAATAAATTAATCTTGTCCATTTATGCTTGTGGGTTTGTCCATTCATCATCAACACATTTGCCAAATATCCATGACATAAAGTAAAGCTCACAAATGGTTTTTACATGGTTTATCCAACTGTCTACATCCATGAAACCATAGACGAAGCAAATCAACTATAGCAAACATTCAAGGTTCAGCACAAAGTTGTAGTTAAGCAAACAAATATAAAACACTCCATGTTTTCACAAAGCTCCAACTCCACCATTTTGGATGATCCACCGTCTTGCCATAGCTTGCTTGAATCCAAGACACCCCTTGGATAGCTCGAGCTCCACTCAAGCTTCAAGACCGAAGATGCACTTTAGCTTCATAATGTAATACTCTTTCTCTATCTAGTATACTCGTAAAATAACAGTAAAACTCACTAAATATATATAAGAAAATATATATGTAGATGAATATAAAATAATGGGCCCATAACTAATTTTTCTTTATATACAAATCTTTACTTAATATAATAAAGTCTCAAAATAGTAACTCGACAGTGTTGCCAAACCCTTCAACTTCTTGACATTCCAAGCGACCGCATCTCACTTACTACTTGCTAAAACATTTAAAACAACGAGGTGAGCACTGATTGCTTAGTAAGAAAACCCGTTATGTTACCCTTCTTTCTCCGTTGCTAAAATTCTGAACTTCTTTCCTTACATCACACTTCTCTATTCTTCTCCGTTCTTTCTCTGTTCTTTCTCTGTTCTTTCTCTATTCTTTCTCAGTTTCTCACTACTCATGCTAGTAGGCATGGTATCATGCATAGGTATGATGCAAATGCACAAATGCATAGGATGTGCATTTTGTTTTTTGTTTTTCTATTTTTCTTATTCTGTTTTTTGTTTCTTTTCTCTGTATTTTTTTGTTTCTTTCTTCCTTTTCTAGTCTTTCTTTCTTTTCTTTTCTATTCTTTCTTTCTTTCTATTCTATTCTATTCTTTTCCATTCTTTCTATTCTTTCTTTCTTTCTTGCTGATTAGACTCGGTTGAGGCATGGATTTGGAACCCTGGCCATGTGAGTGTACTCTCTAATTCTGAGTACAATCCTCATCCACATGTACTTCTAAATAGGGGTGTTCAAAAAAATGCAAAAACCAAACCGAACAGCTAACCAAACCGAAAAACCGGTTAACCAAAAAAACAGTTCGGTTACGATTCGAAAAATTCAAAAAACCGAATATTCGGTTCGGTTACCAGTTCGAGAGAAATTAGAAACGGTTAACCGAAAACCGGTTTTAAAAACCGGTTTTTCAAATATATATATAAATATATTATATATTAAATAAATAAATAATAATCTAAACTAAAATAAATCCCTAATTCACTCAATCTAAAATCCCAACCCAAATTTTTTTTCTTAGTTCCCAATGTATTGTCTATATTTACAATTTAATTTAGGACAAAATTAAAAAAAAAAAGTTTTATAAAAAAAAAAAGGGAAAACCGGTTAACCGCTTTTTTTAAAATGATTAACCGAAAAACCGGTTTTCCCTAAAACCGGTTCGGTTTTGGTTCGGGAATTTTCCCGAACCGAAAATCCGGTTCGGTAACGGACTGTACAATTTTTCTTTCTGAATTCTAAGGTCGCTCACTAAAGGCGGCTTGCATGCGGGACTATGTCATTCACGGGTTCCCCATCGCAACAACCTTCTCTTCTTTTATCTTTTTACACTTCTTTAAATAAAATTTCAGATTTGAACTTCTTTAATATTCTCATTTCTTTCTATTTGCTCTTTAATGTTCTTTAATGCTTTTTAATGCTCTTATGAGTATGTTTGCGTGTAGATGGACTCATGCTTATTATTCTTTCTAAATTCACATGTTTGGATGTAATAATGAAATATGTAATGTAAACATGTCATTCTCTACCATCTACAAACTCATCTCAAGATAACAAATAATCGTACTCATATATGCACTTCTCTTTGACATTTCATCAAACAATTTATATGCACACATAAACTCTAATTTGGCTGTACTTCTACTTCTCTTCTAAGCCACAAAAATTTGGAACAAAATTCTCTACGATTAACGCTAAACCTGTCCAGGATTTACACTCCATAAATTCTACTCCAGTTCTTCCATAATTCATCCAAACTCTCATCAAACCTCAAGTACGCAAACACTACTTTTCATGGATAAATTCTAACTATCATTCAACATCCATTCCATCAACAATTCTTCATATATAAGCACCTATATGCATAAAAGAATTTCTTTACACATTATTACTCCAATCATAACTAGGGTTGGATTTACTTATCTTAGATGTGAGCAATCCAACACTTTAATAGTCTTCTTTGATCCAACTCTTTTTCTCTTAAATCCTATGAACGCAAATAATGACAATTCAATGCTTTAAAAAATTAAAACTCATATCTTAGTGCAAGGATCTCACCTAAGGTTGCTTGGGATTGAAATTCCACTAATAATAACCCAAAATCTATAAATTTCCCTTGAAAAAGAATTGAAGAAATTGAGAGAATTTGGGGATGAAGGTGGCATGAAAGAGGAGAAGAAATGGCTAGGGTTTCATTATTCATCTCTTGATATAACAAAATATTATTTATAGTTTCCCATTTTACCCTTGTACTTTTTATAAAATTCCATCTATGTCCCTTAGTCAATTACCATAATGCCCTCATTTTTATTACATTCTTCATGAAATTCTATCTCTTTTGACTCCCCACATTTTCAACTAATTATGAGTAAAAAGACCGTTTTACCTCTAATGAAATTTTAAGGGATTTTCTTCACACTTGTTCAAGATAACTTTAACAAAATTCAACTAGGGGTATTAGGGCATAAGTAAAGCTACTTACCTCGATGTGGGCGTTACAATTCTCCCACTTTACAAGAATTTCGTCCCCGAAATTCAAACGAACAACTCAGGATGGCGGTTCTGCATAGCTTGCTCTACCTCCCATGTTGCTTCTTCTACCTTATGATTCTTCCATAGGACTTTTACGAGTGGAATACTTTTGTTTCAGAGCTCTTTAATCTTTTTGTCTAAAATCTGTACTAGTTGCTCCTCATAAACGAGATTCTCTTCTAAGTCCACTTCTTGTACTTTTGGTATATGGGAGAGATCACTAACATATCTTCGGAGCATCGAGACGTGGAACACATTGTGTACCTTATCCATATTAGGTGGTAGCGCCAACTTATAAGCTACCTTTCCAACTCGTTGCAACACTTCAAAAGGGCCAATGTATCTAGGTGCTAACTTTCCTTTACTGCCAAAACGTATTACCCGCTTATAGGGGAAAACTTTAATAAACACTTTAACACCCACTGCAAAATCCACGTCTTTTCTCTTTAAATCTGCATAGCTCTTTTGTCTATCTTGAGCTTGCTTCATTCTACGTCGGATCAACTGGATATCTTCTATCATTTTCTGGGTTATCTCTGGCCCAAGAGCTGTATGTAACTCGTCTTTCTCTTTTACCTCATCCCAATGCAATGGAGATCTACATCGCCTACCATACAAGGCTTCAT